GGGCCTCCCTTCTGAAGCTGCTGCCCCCGCGACCCGACCCCGGATAGGCGGAAGAAAATGGATGGATGGATGGAATTGAATCATGAAGACATAACTTCACAACAGACCTGATCAGTTTCACGGTTCTGCTGCCTGTTTACATTCACTGAGGAGGTCTGGGTCTGGACCTGGTTCTGAATCTGGATCAGGTGTAATTAGTTTCACAGCAGATAAACTTGGTTTAAACTCGGTTTTGAGGCACTTTTCTGTCTGTTTACGTTTCATAACGTTTCCCAGGCAGCAGTTAGCTTTATGCTAACAGGCGGATCGGTTTTCTCGGACCCGGCAGCGAACCGGTACATGTCCCAGCTCCTCTCCCCGGTTCTGACAGAACATTTTAACCCAGGCTTACCTTCCAGTGTCAGGCTGTCCAGCTCTTTTGGCTGCTTGACCGCGTTAGCTGCGTCTTCCTCGGGCATCTCCACGTCCTGCGGCTCCGGGGCCTCGCCTTTCGTTTCCTTCGGTTCTTTGGACTTGGAGTCCCGGTCCCGGCCGCCGGCCTTGTCCCGCCGCTTGGCCGCTGTCTCCTTCATGCTGTGGGGGAACAAACTGTGGGGTTTAAACGGGTTTGATGAGCGGAGCCGCCGAACTTTGTCCGCACAATGACTGGACAGAAATCCACAGGCTGAAGCAACTGAAGGAAGTTAGAGCGCATGCGCAGAAAAAGTCGATCACCGAGGGAAAGAGGAGAGCGCATGCGCAKAAAGTCGATAACAGATAAATCGATTTTGCACTTGTCATAATGGTTACTGTACTATWTCAAATATTTTTATATTTCAGAACTTTCAGAAAAAAGACAGGCAGAACCATCAGAACCTAAATCTGAGCCCAGAACACATTAATAAGAAAAAGAGAACAAATTATTTTTAAATCAACATTTTTAGCAGCTTTTAATTTGCTTTAATCAAATAATGACAGCTTTTATTTGTATAAAACATTATGTGTAGATTTACAGATTATTATATCGTTCAGTCTGTGTTCTTGTGGCAATGAATGTACAAATATTTATCTTGATTTGCTTGTATTTATGTTTGCTGAAGTTTTAAAAAGTAAAAATTGTCAGAATCAAGTTTGACATGTTAATAATCCCTCTGTGCTGCAGCTGAAATTTAGAGCATAAAGAAGTTGTTTGTCAGAGAGAAGATTTAGTTGAAACATGTCAGGTTAAGTTTTAAATAAATAATAAAATGTGTTTTATGTGTTATACCCTGAATAAAACCTTCTCAGYTGAAATGATAAAAGTTAATTTCTGTTTTGTTTTGTTTCTGTCCTCCCTGGTGCTGCTTGGTCTCCTGAGGTGTGGCTCTTGGTTCCTGTGGGTG